TTTTAGCAGTCCTCCAATGCTTTTTGCAGCATGGTACAGAAAGGACACCTAGATTGAGCCAAATGGTAACTATATGTAACTATATATGTTATTTATTTTTGCTATATGTAACTATACCCACATAAGGTATTCTGGAGAACAGTCTAGTTTAAATTGTTACGGAACACCCCACTAAGTTTGATTTTTAGCAAAAACAATTTACCATAACAGTAATTTTAAACTTGAATTATATTTTTAGTCCGTTTGGAAACTTTTAACCAATAAATGAGATTATTGAGCTTGTCTTTTGAACATCTGATCACTGTTAGTCCAGCTGCTTTTCCATTGGCCTTATTTGAGTATTTTCACTGGAATAAGGTGCAAGTAAACAGTCAATTTTATCTGGTAGTAACTAAGTAGTAGCTAGTATTCATAAAGAGCAGAGCAAAGCAATATAAATCATATCCAGAATTAGTATGGACTTTCAGGTACCTGTTGTGCTAGAAGAAGATTGAGAGTCCTAAAGGACAAAAGGCTTTTGTGCCTCCGTGATTACTGAGTTTATGGTGACTGGGGGAACACTCAAAACTCTTCATTTCTATCCAAATGGCAATGCGGAGCCGTTAGTTAAAGGTAGTCGAAGAGTTACTTGAATTTTCATTCCCCTTGCCCAGCCATTTGCCCTGAGAGCTCAGTGATCTCCAGTTTAAGGCTGTTATTTATTTTTGCTCTACCTGACCCTACTGAATTATGGCCATTTTTCCATTTTCCATGCTTTGCCTACTGCTGTAGTTCATGTGCATAAACAATGTGGAGGTACTTTCTTCCGCTGCACTTCTTAGTGAGGTGCTTTCTGCATTACTTTCCTTTCCTTAAAAAGATAGAATTACAGCTTCAGGGACTGCGGAAGCACGCAGGAAGCGTAGGTTATCTTTATTTCCTGACCACCTGAACGTTAGAAACATCCCTAAAGGCTGTGATCAGATGTCCTAAGTTCATTAGCTCTAGCTTTGAATTTTTGCACTAATAAAGTTAAGAAAAGGGCCTAGGCTTTACTGTAGTTTGGGCCTGTATTCTCTTAGCCTTGTTTGACACTATCTGCGGCTGGCTTATGAGGGTTTGGTTTGGAAAAAGTGATTTAAAAAAAAAAAAGGCAAATTAGCTTGGGTTTAATCTGAGTTTATTTCTGAAGTGCAGCTGTTACCTAGGAAATTGTCAAAAGTCAAATTTTAGTTCTGCAGAAGTTAAAATTGTTACTGGGAAACAAAGCAGTAAGAGCTATATTTCAGTATTCCAGTGTTGTAATTAGCAGGGTTTCCAGAACCAGGGAGATAATGGTTTGGTTTGTTTCTTAAAAAACCACCACAAAACAGCTGCTTAAATTACTTGCTCTGTCTCGTTTGTATACTCCAGAAGTTATATCCTTTCATTGAGTGACCGAGTGTATTCTAGAGACTGGAGGTTAGAATCGTATCAAAAATGAGCCAATGGCAAAGTCTTTGCTGATCAGGAGTTACAAGACCTTCCAGGAAAATGTTGTCAGCCTTAAACTTCTTTTAAAAGGAAAAAAGGTGTTTATTTTAATTTCATTTAATATTTCAGGTCTGAAATATCTACATTCTGCTGGCATTTTACATCGAGACATTAAACCAGGGAACCTACTTGTGAACAGCAACTGTGTCCTTAAGGTGCTACTTAAATTTATTGAAAATGTACATATGTATATGCTGTTCATTATAAATCAGTTTTTATTTTTTTAAACAAAACCACTTAATATGAACACTTTTCCTGAAAGCCATTTTAAAGGAAAAAAATCCCACAAATTCTTTAAAAATTTTAAATGAAACATCTTACTTTTCCCTTTTCTCCCTACCTCTTCCCAAACCTATGAAAGCAAGATAGACATGATTCTTTTGTTTGCCTTGCGTTGGGATCTCTTGTGCCCTCAGCAGCTGAGAAAGGCAGGCAGTTGCTTCAGGTATTGCGATGTCGGTGTTCAGCGTGCTAGTCAAAGTAAGAAAGGCGATGCAGGATGCCCAAGACTCTTCCATTAACTTCCTAGGCATATGAAATTTTGGAGGGCTTAGGCATGTTGTATAGCTATGTCAAATATATTTAAAAAAAAAAAAGTTTTACTTACACTGATTTGCTAAGCATTCTAATTGTGAAAATTTTGATCTGTTTTCTTAACGGTTCTGGTTCAAGGAATTTTTAAAACTTCTCAAAGCCAAAGTCAGTAGAAGGCTGAATCTTTCTGTAACATTTTGAGGCACATCATGAACAAATGAAATCTGATTTGGGATAAAATATTCTGTACCCAGAGGTTGGCAATATGTATTATTTTTTTTTATTATAAATATTGAAATGCCAACTAAAAATGTACTGTGATTTAAAATAAAATTGTAGAAAGTTTAAATGGATGTGGAATAAAGTAGCATAATTTCTTCCTATTCCCCTTTCCCTTTGCTTATGCAGTGACAGCAGTTTATCTGATTTATTTAAATGCTGGTTTGGAATTTCCTGCTTCATTACCAGAAGGTTACCTATTTGAAATGCATTAAGTGTTTTGGTTATTTTAATTTTTTTATTTACCTTCTCAATTTAGATTTGTGATTTTGGATTGGCCAGGGTGGAAGAATTAGATGAATCTCGTCACATGACTCAGGAAGTTGTCACTCAGTATTATCGAGCTCCAGAAATCCTGATGGGCAGCCGTCACTACAGCAATGCTATTGACATCTGGTCTGTAGGCTGTATCTTTGCAGAATTACTTGGGCGAAGAATATTGTTTCAGGCACAGAGTCCCATACAGCAGGTATAATTAAATTTCCCTTTAAATTTTTTTCTACTGCGTAATTTCATGGAGTCAGTTATACTGATGCATTTTGAACCTCAAACTTGCTTTTGTTTTGCTTGGTTTATACACAGGCAAAAAAACCAAGCTACTTTGAAACACTGGAATAATAGCTTCCAGAGAGTATTAAAAGTAGTGGTTATTAACGTTAGCTTTTGAAATGTCTATTTTTTTGTAATCCCCTGTAATCTGCTGCAGTACCAAAGCCTGCCGTAGCATTTTATTGAGATAAGGTAAAGGTGATATAATCGGGATCAAACTTTTTGTAACAACTAATATGAGAAAGTAGTAAGTTTTCTGTCAATATGTCACTGGAAATACAGTATTGGCACTTGAACTATTTAAACTACCAATTAGTAGTATTGCTCAGACTGCTTAATTTTAGTAATGGTCAAGTGTGTAAGAAGGTATTGAATATTTTTTTATGTCGTAAAGCTGTGGCTAGGTATAAAAACATGAGATGCACCAGAGTACTTCATCACCATTCCAACAGTAAGCAAACTAATATAATATACATATATATCTAAGAATCTTTAAGTGCTATTTTTACAGTAGATAGAAAATAATGTCTGCAATAAGATACTAAAGATGGATGCATTTATACTTCTATCAGAACAAGATGTGCTGACATAAAAATGTTTATCTTCAATGTTGCTAGTATTCATCTATAGATTAGGAACTACATAGCACTAATATTGTGAGATTACCTATATTGATTGACAAGAAGTAAAAACACATTCCAAACTTTTGTTAAGTTCACATTCCAAGTGCTATACTTTCCTTATTTGTTTACGCACATAGCATTTTCACGGTTTGAGAGACATTCACATTAGCATGCTGTTTTCAACATTGGTATAGCTAAAATATTGCTGTGTTGTGTGTATATTTTTTCAACGCTGTGCCCTGTCTAGTGGTAACCTATCATGTCACCGCATGTCACTCTAGACAGCACTGATACCTTGTATGATCGCAAAAAGTAGCCCTCCTCCCAACATTCAGCTCGCTCGTACCCCGTGAGAGACTGCAGAGGAGAAAAGCAGTAATGTAATCAGAACTGCTGCTTAAATTGACAGCTATTCTGTTCAGTCTCAAAAATATTTACGATCTGTTTTTCTAATCTTTGATCTTTTGCTACACTGAAGCTGAACATACGTGTGATTTTGGTAGCGTTAGCTATCCTTGAAATTTAAAGTGCGAAGACATTCATCAGATAACTCTAGAATAGCCTTATGGGGTGGGTTTTTTGGGTGGTGTTCACTTGATTTGATGGAAAAATTGTATAAAGTTACGTAAGAGTTCCTAGCTCTTTTATAATCCCTGTGCAGTAGAGCGGTTTAAGAAGTAATCACCATATACATTTCAATTACGTTCTGAGAAAGTCAATACTACTCGAAGGTGGATAGAGTCTGTCGAAGTGCCTCGGGCTAGTCAGCGTTTCGGCCTTTCCTCACTCCCGTGCCGTGCCCCTTAGTGTAGAGTGCGCGCTGAAAAGGGGTATCCCTTCGCCCAGCGGAGCGCCGCAGGACAGCGGAAACTCCCTGATGTCGGGACAGCCATCACCAGGCTGAAGATTTTCCTGGCAGAAAAACCAGAGAGGAGATCGTTTTAAAACTGTCTGCACTGGAATTTTTAACTCAAATCTGTGATGAAGAAAGTGAGTAAAGCTTTACATTAAAAACCAGACTGGTACTGGTGGATCTGGTATTTTAAGCTTCGCATAATATCACGTTGGAAGTGATGAATACATCTAAGTTGCTCACTGAGGTTATAATAGCTAACTTTTGATAGGGATTTCTTGGGATTTCTTAAAAAATTAAGAAATGAGATAAGGTATACTGAGACTTAGATAACCAGAAACAGTTATAGATAGATATAATCAGTTATAGAGTGCTAAGTTTAACCACCTTCCTAGGTCAGCCGGTTCCTCTAGTCTGATTTTGCTGATTATTATTTAATCCTCCTTAAACCGGTCACAGGGCTGAGGCAGTAAGCAGAATCCATTCGGAAGGATCAGAGTGTCAGGAAGAAAGGCGGCTCGGGCCGATACTGCCGGGCTT